GCGACTCGACGGCACATAACAACAACAACAACATTTATACTTAATTATAAACAATTTATAAAAAAAATATTTGTTTCTATATACGTGTTGTTGTTGTGTACTGTTGAGTTGGAACCAACCTCTAGCTGACCCTCCAGTGAGTTTTCAAAGGCAGTTAATTGCTTGGGAGGAGATTGCCCATCCTTCTGGTGCAGAGCTGCACGAGACAGCAAACCTTGTGCCTTAGGGATTGTAGCACAGCTTCTTGCCACTAGACCACAAAATCACACTCATATATACATATATTTCTTTACCTATTTATGTATTTTTCAGTGTCTTTAACGGTATAGTAAGCATAATGGGTTTTTCATTATTCTATTTTTAAATGAAAACCGTAATAAATGAAAAGATAGATTCCTTCTTCCCATGAAAAAACTTCATGGAGGAAGAGTATAACTACTCACATTCTTCTTCTTCTATGCAACTCATTATATGTTCATTGCAATAGTTATGTCTAGATCCTCTTATGCTTTTTCTCTCGATAGCAAAGAATTAATGACCCTGGCTATCTCTTATGCCACCCCTATGCAACCTGAAGAGACGGAGCATCCTCAATCGGATTTGCTTGGTCTTGATGGTGTAAACAACTGGATTGAGTACTGGAGGTGTAAGAAAATGAAGATAAGAGAGCAGCACACGGCTACATGGGGAAGCCTGCTTCCAAAATCGATGGATCATGGACAGACCAATCATAGGTGTGTAGAAAAGCAGCACAGCACAGATGTGGGAGACACATGTATTAAGGGCTTTGAGGCGCTCAGTCTTGGAGGCAATGGACAGCACTGTGCAGAGGATCAAACCATAGGAGAGGACGATGAGCACTGAGTCCAGCCCCAGGGTAGAGAGCACCACGAAGAGACCATAGGCACTGTTGATGTGGGTGTCGGCACAGGCCAGCTTCATGACGTCTGGGTGCAAGCAGTAAGAGTGAGAGAGTTGATGATTCTGACAGTAGAGCAGCTTCTTTAGCATGATTGGAGCTGGAATATGGAGGCCAATACTGCGCACTACAATGGCTAGGCCCAAACTGGCAATCCGGGGATTTGTGAGGATGGTGCTGTATCGTAGAGGGTTACTGATGGCCACAAAACGGTCAAAGGCCATCGTCAGGAGCACGGAAGACTCCATGATGGAAAATGTGTGGATGAAAAAGAGTTGTGCCAGGCACATATCCACTGCCACCTCTGTGAGACCCAAAATGTAGATGGTGAGCATGGTGGGCATCGTGGAAGCAGACAGACCCAAGTCTGTCACTGCCAGCATGGACAGGAAATAGTACATGGGCTGGTGCAGGGAAGGTTCTGACTTCACCACCCACAGGATTAGGCTGTTTCCTGCAAAGGATGCCATATACATGGCACACAGCGGGATAGAGAGCCAGACATACGCAGCTTCAAGGCCTGGAAGGCCTGTTAAGAAGAAAAAAGTCTTGTTGTTATAATCTGACATGATGACATGGAGAGGCAGAACTCCAGAGAGAAGTACAATCACAGGTCCTGGAATTCAATGAGTTGGTAGGTCAGAACATATAATGTAAATTAAGACCTTAAAGCCTGACATGGACCACTATAAGGTTCTGAAACTCCATATCATTATAGTTTGCCCAGATATTTCCTCTAATTCTTAGATAAGAGGTCAGTAAATAAAAGGTACAATTGTTAGAATAAATCCTGCAAGCATAGTAAGCCTGATCTAGGGGTCTTAAAACAAAATATATTCCCTCACACTGGACTTTGAGATATGACTCTGAACAAAAGACTGACGTCATCTTGGTCAGTTCTCTATATTGGAAAAGAAACTTTAGGTTTTACCATACTTTGTATATTCTATCCAGGACCAGGATCCAGGTGTTCTAACTTCCTTTATTGTTATCCTTTCAACATTTTGTGTTGTAGCTTCATAGGTATTTCTATAATATAATATAATTAATTTTAAACTTTACAGAGAAAAGTATTATAATGAAAATAAATTCCTCTAAACATGGCACCACACCAGTATGAGTATGCAAATATAATTTTGCCACATATATCAAATAGAATGCCAAACTGTGACAAATATTTTAGACATTTACATAAATATAATTTATTTTTAGGTGTGGCTATGTATGTATATTAATTATATAGAATAATTCTTATATAGGAATGTCTGCCTTATATATCAACTATTTCACATTTTAAATTAAAATATAAAAATTATGTATCTCTCAATGTTACTTGTCAATAAGCCAAACTCTAGACATATTTTTAAACTTAATTTACTGAGAAATAGCATATCTGAAATTATGTTCACCCTGTGCTTTTGCCTTGAATATTGGGCATTGCTTCATATCCTGCTCTGTTATCCACCCCCTATATTTAATCTAGTGTGGGTTTCTCTTCTGAGAAGACAGTGGCAGGCCATTCAGTTTAGGCTTTTTCCATTTTCCTCCCAAGTACAAGTAAGTTGAAAGATTATTATTTTAGTTCTCAAAAAAAGCCAAAACATTAAATAAAAAGCACCATATATTTAGACTTCTTATATAATGTTCACTTTCTCTATATCTCCTAATTTGTCTTAGCATCTTGTTTTGATGAGTAGGTTCACCAAGTGAGCTGTGCCACTATTTCTTCTTCATAGAACAATATGCAAGGGTAATCTATTTGTGTTTTGTATTTCACATAAAGGAATTTAAAAGCCATTTCTATAAATAGTATTTTTAATTATATTAACTCTCAAAAGCTGACCAATTAGCTTTTTTACACTTTGTTTTCAGATTAAGAAATGTAACTTTTTTTTTTTTAATTTATTTTACTTCATTATTTTTTGTGTGTACCGTTAAATCAGAGCTGACTGGAACAGGAGGAGATTGTTCCTCCTTCTCCAGCAGAGCATCTGGTGGATTCGAACCCTGCATCTCTGAGATTGCAGTTGCAGCTTCTTGCCAGTAGGCCACCAGAGCTCACCAAGAAATGTAACTTTTAAATAACTCAAGACTATAATGTTCCCAAAGCACAGAGATTGTAAAAGGAGAACTTTTTAAAAACTTTTTCATACTAGTTTATTTACAAAATTAAAATACATTGTTTCTCATGCCAGTTCCTTCTCATTTCCCTAATTCCCCTCACCCATCAAATAATGAGACTTCATGATTAATTCCCCCTGCCCACTCCTCCTCATGCCTCTGCTTCCACCTTCCCCCTGCCTTGGATCCTCATACATATTCTATAATAATGTTTTCATACATTATTTGTCCTTATGGGACTGAGTTAATTCACTCAGCATAAGGAGAAGTTTGATAGTAGGACTGAAACTAATACTGACCAACTTTGTGGTTCAAATTCTGAATATTGTTGCTTGTTGATGTTGTGTTATACTGAGTCAACTCATACAGATATCAACTCATGTACAACAGAATGATCTGCTGACCCAAAGGTTAATTCTTAATAAACAGACTCAGAAGTCTCATAGATATCCTTATATCAAAGTAAACGAAACACATTAAAGAAAGGTTTGTTTTGTTTTGTTTCGTTTTTTACTTTATTTTTGGGGTTAGGTACTTCTATATTTGTCTTCTAGAAACTGATCTTAATAGTAAATGTGCTTTCATTTAGTAAACAGTTAAACTATTACAGGTATTGATTTAGGTTTTGTAAATAGAGATATGAAGAGCTGAAGAGTCTAATAAAAGATATTAAAAATTATTCCAACTATGTGGTGTCACTGTTATCGAATGAGGCTGACATCAGGTTGTGGGTAAGACTGGGGAAAACTGGAAAAATTATGTTTACTGCATTGAAGCCGATGAAGGAGAGAATAGTTTAAAAGCAATATATTTTAGGGTATTATGATTATCATAAGAGTCTGGAATGACGGTTGCAGAGTGGAGTGTACTCGGCGTGGGGGGGGTGTGCGGGGGGATTGTATACCATGAAGGAGTTTTTCTTTCGCTTTTCGAGGAGAAGAGCTAACTGGGGGTGGGAGGTGGACAGGGAGAAAAGTGCAACAAGGAATGAATGGAAATCCAAACTCTCTGTAGATGTTCATTGAAATTAATAATAAAAAAAAAAATGGCAATGGTAAAATGCGGCCTAACAAAATCACACTTAATGTGAATGGACTAATAATGCCAATTAAGAGAAAATGAGTAGCAGGATAGATTTTTTTTTTATAAAAAAAAAGCCAATCAATATGTTGCCTACAAGAGGTATGTTAAAAAAACAAAAAAGAAGAGAAAGACAAAATAAAAAACCAAAGGCTAGAAAAATATATACCAAACAAATGGCCACCTCCAAAATAGCAGAAATGGCAATACTAATTTCTGATAAAATAGACTTCAGAATGAGGGACTGGAGAGCATTGTGCTGAGTGAACGAACTTGGTCCCACAAGGACAAATATTGTATAAAACCATTATTCTAGAATGAGTATAAGGATCTAAGGGAGAGGGGGAAGGATGGAAGCAGAAGGATGAGGATATGCAGGGGGAGAGCGATATTAATCATAGAGTTATACAATTTGATGGGTCAGCAATGAGGGAAATTGGAAGAATCTGTTCTCAAAACAATGTATTCAAATTTTGTAAATAAACTAGTATTTATAAAAAAAGTCAACTTTGGAAGGGGGATGAGAGTAAGAGAAAGTGAAATGTACAACAATGAAAGAATGAAAATTTAATTTTTCTATAAGTTTTTGTTAAAATCACAATTAAAATTAAAAAAAAATATTAAAAAATAATTTCCAACGACGTGAAGCAAATTCTAAAAGAAGAGTACTAAACATACCATACACAACCACGAGAACAAACAAGTCTGTTTTGGAGAGGGTAAAACCAAGTTTCTCCTTGGAGGCTAGGATTTTGAAGCTCCATCTCACATACTTTGGGCATGTGACCAGGAGAGAAGGGTCCTTGGAGAAGGATATCATGCTTGGAAGGGTAGAGGGACAGTGCAGGAGAGGAAAACCCCAGATGAGATAGAGTGACACAGTACTGGAGTAAAGGGAATAGCTGTGTCAGTGTCAGTGAGACTGGCTTGAGATAGGGCAGACTTCAGAGCTGTTGTACATAGGGTCTCACTGAGTCACAAGCAACTCAAATGGCACGTAACAACAACAACATGTGACTGTTGTTGTTGTTGTTATATGCTGTCGAGTCACTTGCGACTCATAGCGACCATATGTACAACAGCTCTAAACTCTGCTCTGTTCTGTGCCAATCACACTGTCTCCAATACAACCATCCCGATTACCCCAGTCACTGAATCAATTCACCTCATAGAGGGCCTTCCCCTCCTGTGCTGTCCCTCCACCCTACCAAGCATGATATCTCTCTCCAAGGACTGGTCCCTCCTTACATGTCCAAAGTATGTCAGACGAAGCCTCAGAATCCTTGCCTCCAAGGAGCTGCCTGGTTTAACCCTCTCCACGATGACTCTATTTTCCTAGCAGTACATAGTACCCTCAATACTCTTCTCCAGCACCACATCTCAAAGGCATCAATTCTCCTTCTATCCTCCCTAGTCATTGTCCAACTGTCTGACACATAACAAGTAATTACAAAGACCATGGCCTGTATCAGACACACCTTAGTCTCCAGAGAGACACCATTGCTCTTCAGAACTTTGGAAAGGTCCCTAACTGCAGACTTTGCCATTGCAAATAAAAAATGTGGACAAAGAAATAGATATAATTATAGATTAAGAATATAGGGAATTGCCCTTTTTAAAAGGTGACCTTTAAAATAAAAAGATAGAAAAGACCTGGTCATCTACTCTAATAATACTAAAGCTCATTGCCATCAAGTCAGAACTGACTCATAATCACAAAGGAACAGATTGTGGACTTTTCTTTTTTGGAACTACTGGTGGATTCTAACCATCACAGAGGTATGGCCTTTGAGTAGTGACAAAAGACTCCCTATAGATAATGCCACTAGAGCTACCTTTCACAATGATCACAGAAAACTGTGAGATGGTTTTAATTCACATGTAGGCTCTATGAGTTAGAAATTAATCAAGAGTGCACAACAATAAGTGAGAGAAACACAGTAAATACTATTATTGTTCAAAGAGACAGAATTATTCTTTGCTTGAAATGCCCTGAAAACATTTTTACTAAAGATTACTTAAATCCTAAAAGCATATAGTAATCATAATAAAAATCATATTTTTCCTTGTAGTTTATTGGGAAAAGTATCAAATTGTTAATAAGGTAATCTATATGCTGGCTATCCTCTGCTTGTGTAGAAATTTTAACAAACTGTTTTATGTCTTCTTTGAAAATTACTTCATTGCTTGGAAACGTGACTTAAGTAGAGGAAGACCCTATTGGACTAACACTAGGTGATTGTGTCAAATGGGTTTAAACATATCGAAGATTGGGAAGATGGCAAAAGATCAGACAAGGTTTTGATTTGTTCAGATAAGGTTGCTGTGAAGTAGCCTGCCTACTTGACAGCATCTCACATGACCACCA